GCCTCTAAGTCAGAATCCCGTCTAGACATGGCAACGATAATTTTGCTCCTCGATGTCGAGAGGCAAATCTATATAGATATGTTTATTGTGCATATCTATAATATTAGCCCCATTAGATGGTATTGCTATACGTGTTGAATAAATTGCATGTATAGTTGCCAAAGCTGGTTTCAAAAAAAAATCCGCTACCAATGTCGGGGCGCAAAATCACTTGTAGACGACATGATTACTGGTCAAGGTGTTGTAATCAGTAGAGCAGCCTCCATACTGCGATCTGTTGAGACTCATCCTTTGATTGGACGATTTGTTTTAAATTCATAAAAAATATTTTATACTTTTTTTTCTCTATATGTCACCATTACATCACTATTGACACCAACACTAATAAAAGAGAACGAAATTAGTGAACGAAATATTGTGAAATCGTAAATCGTATGAATTTGAGAAATCGCGGAAATTTTCAATATATCCGAACTACGATTTCGAAATTCAATTTAATGAATATCGCTTAATATCGCTTGAAAGTTGAATATGGAAGACAACGATTTATTTCCCAAGTTTTTAAAAAAAATTTTAAGCAATAAAATATGTTATAAATGATCATCAATATATAATATAATATGAAAATAATTTATCACAATTATTCCCACGTTAGACCATTTAAAATAACCGCCATATCGATAGGCTCATTATAGATTTCAACTGTTGCTGCTGCTGCAGTTGCAGCTGCACTACACTACATATTAATCGTCTGGTTAAATCATTCATTATTTCAAAGGTATTATTGTTTAAAATACTTCAAAATTGCATTTGATAGAGAATTTCGTAATGTATACGCAGTGTTTTTATATATAAATATAAAAGATATAATATATATAATGAAATATATAATGGTTGAATGGCGAATGGCAATATATTAAAAAATATAACAAATTTTTTCAATAATGAAGAACACATTTGCACATTTTGGTGAGTGGTTTCCTATTATTAAGGGAGGTTGGTGTGCCGATGTTAAAGCACAAACGAGAATTAATAAAATATTTCGAAAGTGAATAATTTCGAAAATTCTCGACGCATTTCGTAAAATATTTCGATATTGCCTATACCACCTCCGATGTCGAGGTATTGCGTAAGATATTTCGAAATTCAAATACCCCATGCATAACGAACTCAAAGCTTCTATGCTCGTTATATTTGGGGTATATAATAAATTTCGCAACGTGAAATATAGCTATATATTTCATCTACCACCTCGATTTTCGAGGTATTTCGTAAGATATTTTGAAATTATTGCCGAAGCAATTTCGAAATTCAAATACCCCATGCATAACGAACTCAAAGCTTCTATACTCGTTATATTTGGGGTATGCAATAGATTTCGTGACGTGAAATATAACTATATAACTATATATTTCGTCTACCACCTCGATCTTCGAGGTATTTCATAAGATATTTCGAGGTATTTCTATATGTGGAACTAATAGACATACCTTCGAAATAAGAATTAATGTCCATTAAGGTTGCGTCTTTTTCCTACAGTTTTCAACTGTGCGATAGATTGGTATGCGCAACGCTTGTTAGCACTCAAGAGGTGTAGTGTATAAATCAGCTGATGATAAAGTCCTTTTCTCTTTATTTATAACTTATTTATTTAAGAAAATGGTACGCTAGAATTATTTTTTAGTCAGTTTACCCAATATTCGGGTTGGTAACGTTCGACATTATTCAATTATTTTTTGTCATCGAAGCACATCGTAAATTTTAGTTGAAAATATCTTTTCTAAATGTATTTTTTCATTTTCTGGAAGTAAAGTTGTTTATTTGAAATATAATAGATAAACATTCATCTCCAATTATGGAAGGTTTTAATTAAAATAGAAGGGGAAATAATCTATATCAGATGCCAATATTATATCCATATTATTTATGCTAATTTTTTTCTAATAGAAAAATATCTAATCAGATATTTCTATGAACTCGCCGTGATTCTTTGCCCGCATATAATTTGTAAATTACAAATCTTGGATGCATATTATATCCAAATGAAGTCTAATAAGATTTTTATTTTTGTTTAACTTTGTTTACAACAACTTCATTGTTCGTAGTTCGATGATGATAATTACAGATTAAAAAAATTTTCTTTCATTATCATTTTTCTTATCATTATTTTGCTTCAATTTTGTTAATTAATTTTAATAAATAAAATCGTAATTACAGCTATATAGTAATGAAGAAAGGCATGTAGGCTGAATTCGTAAAAACATTAAAATATAATTTGATAAAAACCCAAAAATTGATGGCAGCATAGCAGTGGCAATCAATCGTGACTGTTTCAATATAATTTATTAGTTAACGGTCGCTCATATGATTTTTAATAAGGTATTTATTTTAACCATTTCGTACCATTAAAATAAATTCCATTAATTATAAAATGAGTGCTGGAGGAATGTGCAGTATGAATTCTGTAGCAGAAAAATTACGCAAAAATATAAAAGAATATGGCAGTTCGAAAATTGAAAGAAAGAATTAAGAATGGATTTAAAATTTTTGAAGCCTTCTTCGTAATTTACGGATCTTGAATCGCCTCCTTTTTTTACCTCCTTTGCCCCATGCTCCTATAACGAACGATTCGATTTCACAGTGATTTTCTCCGCGCAAAATTCGAAAATATCCATCTTCGCCCCAATTGGTTCCCCATGAATTTGCTGCTATCCAGTATTTTACAGGTCTTCCAGTTAAATCATCTTCTCCCCACCTAAAAGTTGAAGTTACACGGTATAATATAAAAAAATCTTATATTATTAAATTATATTATTGAAATTTTCAGTTTAAATAATGGTTTAATGCGCTCAATTATCGTAAGAGCAATTTTAAAATATAAAACTGGTTCTCAAGATTCTCAAAAACACTTTTATGATATATATAAACTGTTTTATGAGGATGTAAGATATCTCCCTCGAAAATCGACAAGGTATTTAATTGTTAAGCAAAAGGAATCGAAAATTTTGCTGAAGCTAAATAAAAGTGCGGAAATTACCCTAACAGTCGCACTGAATGATATCCTTGACTTGTGTAATGATTGCCTTGTTTGCTTAAATCCATTTTTTGATAAACACCACCGCTGAAGTTGAAAATATCCCTTAATTTAAACAAACAACTAAAAACAATTTAAACCATCTCAAATATTAGAAATTTTAATGGCCAAATTTAAACAATGAATGATTTTAGTACTATAATCATTAGTACTAAACAAATTCTAGTATTTAATAATTTTAATACAATAAACAATAAACTTTATCTTTCATTTCCAAATTAATTTAATTTTCTTTTTAATTCCTATTCTATTTTAATCTATTTTAACTTTCCTTTATGTATTAAGTTCATGGTTAATTTTTTTAGAGTGGTTAATGTTCACTATTTCTGGTTAAATTCGCTTCACTTGCTGCTAGTGCGGTGAGAAATTTTTGGAATCATGGAGTTACGAAATTATTTGAAGATAGTAGGTGGATTTCTAGTATCGCCTAGCTTTTTAATGATAGGTTTATTTCCGTTGGTGACAGGGCATGGAGCTTTATATACGAGGCGATAATCTAAGCAATGATCATTCCGTTATCTCTCTCTCTTTTAAGTAAAGTATTCACTGTTCTAATAATTTACTTTCTAATAGTTCTTTAAATCCAAAATAATTAAATATTAAATAAATAATATAATAATACAATATTAAATTAAATAATAATTAAATTCCTTCTTATATATTTTAGTTTATTCAATTTATTTTGCTATCTTGCTGGTTTTGAAAAATGTTTTTCAAAGCAAATTTGATTGATTGACTGCAAACTGAATCTTATTTCAGTTTATTAATTCGATACTTATCGTAAATTTCTGAGCATTTTTTTTATTCTTATTCCTTTCTAATGTTCTTTTTTTATAAATAGGATTTGGAGGCACTTTGGTTTGTCTAGGTAATGCATTAAGCAAAAAGTATAGATATAAAACTTTAATTTTAGGCTTAATAGCAAATAAACTTATAATCGGAAACATTGTCCACGCACCTGTACATGAAAAAATCTTCATAAACTAAGAAAGTAGCTTGAACTGGTCCGTTTGTAATGATTTCTGTCATAATATCTTGTTCACGACTGGCTATCCTAGAAATTTTATGGATTTTCTTGAATACAAATACAAATAGGTTTTTTAAAAATAGATAAATAGGTTTTTTCCCGTTTATATCCGAGGAAAGTAATTTTACCTATATGGAGGTGTCATTTTATACAGTAATGGTTTTATTGATGAATTCGGGCAAACTATGGGCATATCGATTTGGTATTCCGATTTAACTGTTCGGCATTCGTCAGGTTTTCGAGTCGAGCCGCTAACATAAGGATAGCATTCGTCAGTTAAAATTCTAAAAAATTATCATTTTTTAGATAATCATTTTTTGAATCCGCTGCTAGAGTTTCTTGATATTTCCTTTTTTATTTGGGAATCGAAATGGGTTTTAGCACTATCCAATTTCTCACTCTCGTTAAGGAATCTGTACGGCTTTAGTCAAAGCAACGTGGCATTCATCTAATCATCCATTAATAGTTAGCTTTTTTGACCTTATATATCTTTATTTTTAAATAGTGCACATCATTACTGATACTCCACTGACTGTAAAAAGTGTTTCCAAGCCTTTCGATACGATGAGATATCTGAAAGAAATAGTAACCACCTCTTTTTCCACCGTCTAAGCCTATATGTAATTAACTCTTCTTTGCATTCAAAATCTCTCCTGTCTCATATTAATACACATTTTGATTGGATCTTTTCACTTTTAATATCACTCATTATTTATATATTATTTATTGCAAAGGCCATGGAGTTCGAATTTAACGAAAAATAAAAATCCAATAAAATGAAAAATTAAAGTGTATTATAATTTTTAATTTCCTACAATTATGTTGAGCAGATTTTAAAAAAATTAGCATATCACCTTTTATGACTTTTTTTATTTATGCTTAAAATAATATGGAAAAATTAACGAGACAGGATGACTGAATAGCATTTTGATTTAGCTAGGAACGAAGATTCGGTCTCTCCTCCTCAACGAGAGTAAATTTTTTCAGTCAGGCCAAGCGGTATAAGTAAACTACTTTTATCGCTATTCTAAAGCGATTCTCTCTCATCAAAAGATCTCATTTGAATAGTTAATAGAACCAAAAAAATCAGAAATATTGAGTTAAAAAGAAAAGTGAATAAAAAGCAACACACTTAAAACACACCCAAACTTTCTCATATACCACCATGCTCGATCAAGATAGCCACCCTCACACCCACGTTGTCGATTTTGATTACACGACAATAACTGTTGTGCAGAAAGAACTACGTCAATTTTACCATCAGAAATAATTGATAAACGATCAGATGATGTTGCAGTTGTTGACATAGCCCAAGAACTAAAATTATCCACTAAATACCATACTAAATCATTGTTAATTTCATCTAATTATGTTGATAAACTTAGAAATTAAAATTGATGATAAATATATATGGAAAAATTTGATCAAAATTATCTATACAAAAATTTGTCTAAGTGGAACGGCAAGCTTTTAAAGATAAATTCTCGCATTTTTTTTAATAAGAGAAATATTAATATTTTTACATTTTTATATAAAAGCGAGCAACAAAACCTGGCGCAGTCTCCTTGATCTCTTATACCATGGATGTAAAGTGGCCATTTCTCTCTTGAATCGAATCTCAATGGTAATTCTTTTGGTTTAATTAATATTTCATTCATGTTCTGCAGTGAAATTTCTCAGTAAAATAAGTATTCTGCCAAATGATTAAAAGAAAAACATTGATTATATATTCGTACTTGCTTTAATTGAGATTTCATTAGTAACAATAGTACTATCTAAACCTTAGCTCAATATGGAATTAGATTTTAGACAATAATTAATTAATTGACTAACCTGGACGCTTTTTTCGGGAAACAAAGTACCTAATCTATATCGGACTCCATCTTCCAATGTTCGGCCCCAATATTGTGAATAATTTCTGGCTGTCCAACTGAAAATTGATGTGGAATAAACAAAATGAAAACAACTGTATACTTTTAAAGCTTTGTATTTACTTACTTAATTATTTAATTATGAAAAAATCTCGTAGTTATTCACCAAATGATTCATTTCCATTCACATTCTCAATTCAAGAATATTTCGCCACAACACTCTTTCATATACATAATATCTCTTATTTCAGCTTATTACTAATTTAATTTAAATGCTGTCTTCGAAGTCTTAAGGCATTTTCTCCTTAAGCAAGCTTGATAGGTTTTCACAAGAGTTTTCTAGCTGAAATTCATCATTATTATCTTTATTTTACTATAGAACTATAGATTTACTATAGAACGAGTAGCATATCCAAAGCACGAAAAATCCAATTTCTTGGCTTGAGTACATTAAAAGTAAAGTCCCAGGACCTTACACTTCTATATTCAAATGGCTACTACCAAAGAGAGATCTCAGAGTCGGTAATGTCATATAAATTGAAAATAGTCAGTGCTATAAGAAAAAGAAGAAACATCATGTGTCGTAATGGCAAAAGTCTATATACGGTTTGACTGAATCAAGATGGGACGAAAGATGCTTCTTATAGAATTGTGGCAAAATATTGCATCGCGATGGATTTGACGGGTTTTTTCAGAAAAATACACAGCAATACAGAATACAGAACTATTATAAATGAGATTGAACTATTATAATTCACCTTCATTATATTTGCTAAATATTCTGAAAAAAATCATTTCTTCCACTATTCCTTGCTTCATTCCTTGATTTTTTAAATTTAAATTTTATATATTTTACTTTGATCTATTGATCTATTGAATTAAGCAATGCTTAGTTGGTGAAAATTTAAAACGTTCTTTTTTTGATCAAATAGAGTTTATTTTGTTTGATGAAATAACTTACGAGTACCGACCCGTTTGAACTTGATGAAGAAGATTTTCTTGAATTAAACAAACATTCGAATCGCATTGCCACTGATTATTTGAGCATGTGCTTAATTTGTGATTGTCAAGATAAGACCAAATATATTTAATAATTATTTGAAAAACTTGAAAAAAATCAGAGAAATTTGAGAAATTTTACGAGAATCGCTAAATAGCTTTGTTTTACATTTGAAAGCTTTATCCTTAAGATCCATCAAACTCGCTAATTTAGTTAATAAAAAAGCTCATCTTAAATGAGATTGGACGTCTTCGAAAATGGATGTTTTCTCACCCACTTTCTCGAAAATTTCCTTAAGCCCTTTTCCACGTTATATTATTTTCACACACGCCAAATTCATATTATTCTCGTTCGAAACTTTCCAGTTCCCATTATCTCCTTCATTACTTTTAACTTTTTTAACATGTGATAATGTGTAATGCAATAATATATAGCAAAGTTCAATGGGTTTTCAAGGGATATAATGGAACTAGGTGCTGATAAAGCTCCATAGCCGAATTTAGAAGGAAATAGGATACAACTAGTGGATTGTGGCTTTCTGGAGGAAAGCAATAGTGAAGTGGCGGGAAGGCAACACACATATTAACCATTTAAAAATTGTTGAAATTTTAGTTTTATCATTTATAGAAAAGAATTGAATAGAATATGAATAGAATTTCTTATCAAATTAAATAGGAATATACGATTTTCAGTAAAGTTTTTGAAAAATTAAATTTAAATACTTAATTCACATTTTTAAACAAATAGGAAGATCGATAGTTATTGTTGGATTATTTCCTATCGATATTTATTATTTAAAATTTATTCCAAATTCCGTTCTCCGCTACATTCAGTGAAAAAAGATTGCTCAGATTCTTGTGCTAATAGAATATTAATTATAAAAAAATCTTTCTATGAGCTAAGGAATGGATAGATTATCATGTTGAAAGGGAAGGGATTCATTTGATTCCTATTATCACGCTGCAGTTTTAAAAAACCTATAATTAAAAAAAACGGCAATGCATTTATACTTCTACTGCTGACTCTTTTTAAAAATCTCTAACCGTATTAGCAGCCAGCGAGCCAAAGATAATAAATTCCAAGCACTTACTAATAATTTTAAAAATTAGATGAAATAATCGTAATTTGTGCTAATAGTCGTATTATGAATTTTCAAGATTAAAAAAATCTCGTTCAATAACGGCAAAAAAAATCGTAGGTCTGAAGACGTAAGCGTATTTCAGTGGAGAAGAGTTCTCATTTAAAATTTGTTCCGAATTCCATTCCCCGCTACATTCAGTGAAAACAAATTGCTCAGATCCTTAACCTCATACAGTATTATTTACTAAGAAGATGATAGGAAAAAAATGCGCAGAAAATTCAAAGAATTTCGAATACAGCAATTTTTTTCAAAACTAGATTTATAAATAACAACAGTGAAATATTTGTAGGTAGTGAAATTATAATTTACCAAGAAATTATGGATAATTTACCATTTATTGCAGTTTTTTTGAATCGAATCATATTCGTTGTAATTAATGCCACCATAATGGCAACCTGTAAATTTTTTTACTTAGTCTCTATTATTATTATTTAAAAATTCAAATAACTGATCCATTGCATCTCATAATATCAAACTTGCGATAAGCTAGATATGACTTATGAATCAACTACTATTAATCTTGCGAGAACCAGATTATCATGTCCAAATATTAAGCATTTTTTATTATAGAATTTAAATGGTTGTAGGACTTGTATTTGAAAAAATGGTAAGTAAGAGCAGAACCATCAATTGGGCATTGTTTAATTAATTATTTATTCAAACCACGCCAATAATAAAGAAGATAATTACAAGAAATTAAAACAAAATATAATTTTTTCTACTTTCTCATTTATTTTTTGAAATATATAAAGAAATTTGAAATTTTGTTGAAAATAAATTTAAGAAAAAATGAATAAATGAACTCAATACAATCAAATAAATAAATTTTTAAAAAATAAATAATGAATAAATTTGGTAATAAGAGATTGGCTTTCGTTAGTTGCTATAAGCGTTCTCATTAGTAAAAATGTTTTTGACTTAAGCAAGATACCTTACCGTCGGTCGGCATTAGTGGCAGTTCACCTAGGCAAACTTCCTTGAAATCCGGGCAACAATCGTTGCTATCAACTCGATCGCAGAAAACGTCACAGTAGCAGAGGTGATTACCCAGAATCGGCATCGTACAATCATCATCACGATTCGGACAACAAGTCGGCGATCGTATTCGGCAGTAGTCACCGGGTATACCAAAAAAGCCAATGCATGAAACGGTAGTGAACAAGCAGTGGATGTAAGTGATGTAGATTAAATTCGATAATAGCATAGCCAGTAAATAATTATTTCCCCAGTTTAACAGCGAATCGTATAAACGTGTTTGTTCTTCGTTTGTTGTCTTCAAAACGTTTTCATTTATTTCAAACCTCTATCACGGTTACCATATAAACAAATTATAACAATACTCCACCATATCATTTCAATTTAAATAATTAAATCAAATCATTTCCTTTGCTTTTTATTTGCAAGTTTTATCTTTTTAGTATAGTAAGATCGGTTAATTGATTTTATTAAGAAACCGACCACAGCTTTAGACGGTGGAAAAAGGAGTTTTTGAATTTTGTTGCGATGGATTGAAACGCTCGGAAGTGTCTCATAACTTATAGCTAGCAGAGCCAATAATGATGAACACTGTTAGATTTAATAATTTTTCTATCGCCATTCAAACTTTGTAAATCCATTTCAACAAATATTGGAAAAAATATTAAATAATAGAAATACATAAAGGGCTTCAGACTTTTTTAAGAGAAAATTTCGTTTTTTTCCAAGAATATCTAATTGATTCTCAATTTTTTTTATCAACCTGTTTTGATCGTTAGTTTAAAATATTTGTCAATAATAGTGTAACAGTGCTTCCGTTCTCGTTTTGTGTAGTTTTGTTTGATAATTTGTTATTCAATTTTTGTTAAAATAATCAGCAGTGACTTATCATTCAAATAAACTATTTCAGTTATTATTTAAATGTGTGTTCAGCCAACCATTGAAATTTGATATAAAATATTCTTCTCCAAGTTCAAATTAAATTTGCAAAAAATTGAAAACTCAATTTATCTCGCAAATCAGTCAGTAATTATTATTTTTAAGCAAAATCAGTAGCTACTATAATAAAGATGGTCCATTGGCACTATTAAGACAAGCATTACTTGTTCGATTCATAAGCCTTGATGGGAATAAACTTGACATTGAAGTTCGAATTATCCAGATAATGAACATTTTTAAAGATCTGTGTGGGTAGAAAAATGCTTTAAAATAGATTTTTTAGAGAGGCCATTGTTTATTTTTTATCAAAAAATGCTTTATTCCGATTCATTTTGTGGTATTAATTTAATTATTAATTTAATTCTTTAAAACCAAAAATATTCCATAGAAAACAGAATTTAGTACAAACATTTTCCTATACAATTTTCGATTCAATTTAGCAATCAAGAACAATCATTGAAATGGAAATAGATGACGAATATAAAAAACGGACCGAAAAATTAGAAATGTGGAGAGTTATTCTTAGCATTAAGAAAAAGTTGATAAAGTTTGAAAAAAAGTCGTTTTATGGCGACAAATAATTAACAGTTAAAATAACAAATGGTTAGGACGAAATAAATTAGCAGATTTTTTATGCTAATTTATTGTAGGAGATGATGGTCAAGTGGTGTACTGCTCTAAACAAAGTCCAGGGTTCGGTTAGCGTCCTCAGACGAAACTCAATCTTCCATTAATAGCGTAAAATTTAGTCAGACCAGAAAAGCCAATGTTATTAAAAGGAGAAGCAGATAATCATTATCTAAAAATAAAATACGCCAATGAACATCGAATGGAAACACTGAAGAAAATTTAACAACTTTTTAAAAAGACGAATTTTTTTTGCATTTATCGGAAACTTAAAAAAATAGTGAATGAATCAATCAAGAAAGGCATTTATGCATATTTATTCTCCAATTTTTTCTTCAATTTTTGGCACAACCGTTGACTATAAAGGTGATTCGAGAGAATTGAACATATGACTATCCTTTCACTTGCTGGGTCTTCATTGGTCCAACGACTTTTAAAAAGACGGATTTCTTTCACAGCCATTGCTCTCGCAAATTTAAAAAACAGTGGATCTCTGCCTCGGTCAAAAAAAATTTTATGGAGCATTGGAGCATGGAGCACTCTTGTCCAGTAATTGCCACAATCGTTGCAAACAGTCATTAAATTTTTAAAATGGCGAACAAAAAACGACGATTAGTAACCATTGGCAAATCTTTAAAGAAAACTTGGTTGGCGTGACTGAATTCAATGGTGAAAAGAAATAAAACAATTGTGGCAAAAGCATAAAATTATTGATCTAATCGAAGAAAAATAAATCATTGGATTTTAAAAATTGCCATTTTTCACAAGCAATTCGAAATCAGGTTTCTATAGCTCTTTTATCCTTCCATGCCCTTAGCAGAACAAGAAAACTTTAAATAAGTTATCGTAAGCAAAATTTTTAATCTAACCGGTCGAATCCTTGTTGGTCAACTGCGATAAATGAGACAACTCAATTATGAGTATTTTGAGTTGAATAACAAATTTGGTAGACCAATTTGCTAAAACTGTCTCAAAACAGCAGAAAATCCATAGCTCTTTGAAATTACGGCAACTTTATAATTGCACCAAAATTATTATAATTGCTAGTCTTCGCATTAATTTACGATAGATTTACCATGCAAATTTTATAGCGCAACACTAGCTTTTGAAAGGAATTCTGAATTGTACAAGGAAAATTTGATCAAAAATTTCTTTAAGGATTTTGCTATTTAAGGTTTGGATGGATTTCTTTAAGGTTTTAAAATAGGTTTCTAGGACTCCAAAGATTAGATTTTAAGATTTGGAAATTTAAAAGTCATAACAATCATAATTTAAAAAATCTCAGAAATAATCTCAGAATTAAACAAAAAATTATGATGAACGGTAATACTCGGCAATTTAAAGCTATATAACAGGAGAAATGAAGTGAAACAAGAAATACCATCAACTCATATTTGTTTCAATCTGCAATCGGTTAGAAAAAAGCGAAATTTTTTTGGCTCTATTAAATATCTATTTATATATTTAAATATTAATGAAAAGTGAAAAATTCAATTACTGAAATAATCAACAAGTTTGACTGAAAAACAGTATAAACTTGGGATAAACTTTTTTATTATCGTCCAGGATTATGATTATGACACTTTTTCCACGAATTAATTAATGGAGCCAATCTTACCAAAAATGGATAGTGCTAACCACTTATTTTCAATTAGGCTGAAATATTTGAAAAGGTCATAAAATTCTAAAAAAGGGAAAAAACTATAACTTTCATGAATTTTGTGAATACTTTAAATGATGAGCTTTTTAAATGCTTTTTACAGCAATCCAGCACTATCAGAAAATTCAGCGAAAGTAAAATGTGGAAAAAGCGATCGAAACAATTTATAATTTATAATTTAAAATATAAACCCGTAATAAAATCAAAGTTTAGCGAATGTCATAATGGCGTTGTCTTGAAATTCATTGAAATACTTGTCGTCGGGCATTTTTGGCAATATTTGCATGACGAAACTGTTGGCAAAACAAATGAAAGTAGTGATAAGAAGAAGAAAGTCGAGAAAAGCCAACTAACACTTGCCGATACTATTAAAAATATTCCAACCTGCAAATGATCCAATATTATGGATAATAATAGCACATTTGAGATGATTTCTAATCCTTTTTTATTTTTATATAAATGGAGCTAAAAAAAAATTTCTCTTCGTTATTTGCTTTCTTAATACTCGTTTTTTTTTTCTTTCTTCAATATATAAGTCCGAATAGTACGTTATTACTTCTGAAATCAAGCATAATAGATACAAAGTTTCTTTCTTGAAGGCAACAAACTGGAGGAAACCTGCTATTAATAGTGAAATAGGATGCTAAGAACCTCAATCTTTTTTCTTTTTCTAAGAACTTCCACTGTTTCTGGTCCTTTGACCACTCATATTTAAGGTATATTCTACGGATTCGCCGATCAGATAAAATCGCACATGACTGTATCCACCACTCATATACTACCTATATTAATAACGTTATCACAGAGCGTCGTCTTCGATGGTTAGGGTGTCAAAAGCAAGAAAGGATAGTCAAGACCTGGCTGATACATTCAAGAAAGATTTTGAACGTATAGGAGGACCAGCAATATATGGACTTAGAGATGGAAAAAGGAATGGCTTCTGTTACTACTAGCGATAGCGTCGAACCGAGCAGCTTGGAGAGCTTCTTACTCTTGTAACCAGCAGAGCAACCTAACCAAAAATGGTGAGAGGAAGAAGATAAAAGTAAAGGCAAATCACCAACACCATAAGGATTTCTAAAACACCCGTTTCAGGACTCAGAATAGGGGCTCCGAAACGAAAGTATCAATTCTACCAACTCATCCTCTATATCATGTACCCAAATAAGTTTCTAATGAAAGAATATCATATTACTAGTTAGCAGATCTACCAAAAATAGAATTGAATGCTGAAAGAAGATTTAGCTCGAAAATCATCAACTAGTAATTTCGAGAAAAAAGTGATATGAAATTTTTAAAATAGAAATAGCCAATTAAAATGGCTAAATTTATGAAAAGTTTTTTTATCAGAATTCAACCTTTTATTTCCATTAAGAAAGCAGGATAGGTAGGTGAAGAGCTATTACTTAGACTAATGTTTCAAGCCAAAGTTCAATTTTTCCTCCTGATAAGAGTAGATCCGCTTTAAAAAACCCGGATTGTACTTTAACTGTATGTTTGTTATCAAATGACTCCTTAGTAAAAATTTCTCATGGAATAACAGCCAATGCATGAAACCTAACCAGAGATGATGAGCACTTATTTATTTATAGCGAAAATTAGAAAAAATAGATAAATCTTTGAAGACCAAATAAATAGCAAAAAATATGCAGTACAAAAGTGAAAAAAAGGTAAAAAAATTAGCGTAAAATTTTTCATTTGTAAATTCCATGAGAACAAAAATGATAAAATTTTAAATCAAATCTATGAAAAGAATGGTTATCGAATTAAAACCTATTTAAAAATTTGTGTAATTTTAAAATTTCATTGAATTTATGAGGTTTTAAGCTATTGAGAATTAAAAATGGACGGTATTATTATTTTGTCTTGGATTCGGTCTTTGTTCCTGTAATAGCCAATTCTGATTTGGTTAGCTTCATTGATTATTAAGAGTGAAATCCTTTCGTCATCTGGAAATAGAACTATCGGTGAATATTCCCAATGAGCGACCGGATTCAGAAATTATCTTTCCTTTCCCCTCTTTCCCTTTCAATTCCTAGAATACATCAAACTGCCATATCACAATTAAGATAGAATACTTTGGCAGAATAGATCGATAATTTTAAGAAAGAAAAGAACGAACTTGATAAAAAGCATGAGTTTCTGCAAAAAGCATCGATGCACCAGCGGCTATAGATGATACTGCAGCCAAAGCAACAGGGATCGATGATTTCCGTATTGCAGCTTGAATTCTATGAGTACTACATCCAGATTTCGGCACAGATGCACCATAATGTAATGTAAAATCGAATGATAAGCCGACAACAAGAACAAGAATTACTGCTTCTAAAACACCAATAGTCCAACCAATGGCCACAACATATGCAACACTAACCACTACAATGCTCGCAATTGTAGCCAAAGCAACTGGCGATTTGAGACGGAGACAAAGAAGGGTAAAAATTGCTACAACAATAAATGATAATAGTATCGACTGACTGCAATCGAATAAAATGGATCGCAATAAATCATACCAAACAATCATCAGTGACCACTCTGCCGTATACCAACCATCTGTGAACAATGTAAATAAATAATTTTTACGTAAAAAACTTCAGAATTGCTAAAATTGTGGTAACAAAATCAGTGAAAAAAATGATAAATGAAAAGAATAGAAAATCCGAAAAATCTCACTGGTAAGATGGGAAAAAAACCAACAAACCTGTGAAATTTCCAGGAAATTTGCCTTGGCCTATATATTTTAAAAAATTTATAAAAACCCAGTAATATGACATATAAAATGAAATGGATCGCATTTTAATTTGACTACAAATTAGAAACGAAATTGCAGAAGAATTGCAGAAGGTGGAGGAATATAAATTCATCGCAAAACAGCAACTGAAGTCTTGTATTTGGTCAAAAATTTGTCTACAAAAAATTTCCTTCATTTTTTCATTTGAAACATATGAAAATACAGCGATCAACGTATTGAGTCCTCCTTCTTCTTCTAATGGCACTCACTGGTTTCTGATTCCGTGGCTGCATTTGCTAATATTATTTTGCCAAAGAGGTAGAAAAGAAGCTCCATTTTTTATAGTGAAAACTCATTTGTTTCTCAATCTTTTTTTATAAAATTTAATTTGGCATAAAAACTGGACAAATTGTTAGTTTTAAATCCAAAAAAAGAAGGGAATCCTGAATATATATTTATGATATTTACATGTGACATATGACGTTTACATTTAACATTCATATTACTATATGAATTTTCTTCACGAAATTTTTTTCCAACTTTCATTTCATTAACCAGTTTTTAGTTTAATTATTCGTATTTGTCGTTGACGGATCATTAAAATTATCGGATTATGCAAAAATGAAAATAGGAAAATAGGAAGTAAAACCAACTTGTTAAGCCATAAAATGAATCGCGTATTAATCCAAATGAATGCGATAAATTTTTATATTTATGCGAATAAGGAAGTTTCGTCGGCAGTAAAGCAGTATAACCGACTAATTCATAGGTGACATTGTCGTAGATCGGTGTGTCGTTGTATTGAGTATATAAATATGCAGTTGATATGCGAATACAATAATCAGTATAAGTATCATTGTATGATTCGTGAAGTCGATTACAACAAAGCACACCAGGTATGCATTGAACATTACGAGACCACGTAAGGAAACGTTCAGGCCAAAATGGACTTTCATGCTGAATAAAATCGAGATTCCGATAGATTTCTAGTTGTTTAGCAAGATATTCAATATTAGCTGTGGTATTCAACACAAATCGATGATCGTATGAGATTTGTACACGTTTGTTAAGATCGAATAAGTCCGCCATTTCACCACTTTTTAAGCCCCAAACAAGGCGAATAGAGATTTCTATAGCAAATTTATTCTTAGCAAATTCGAATAATAATTCAACATTATTGTCGAACCATTCATGTTCATTGGAGCTCACGAATAACTGAAGAGGATTATACTGAGGAAAACTTAAATTACTATAAGAAACAAATGAAGCGCCAATTGCTACAAGAAATAAAGAAATAATCCAGATATATCGACCGGAAATTACAACTGCTGAAAGGAGATCGCGCATAATATAGCGAATTCTCGGAAACTGCATTGACCATATAGATCGACGAAAATAACGATTTTGCAGGATTAATAAAGCGGGCAAAAATGTTATTTCCAATATATAATTAAATAATAAAGTTAGTCCGGCAAATAAACCAAAACACCTGCAAATTTTCGAAATTTTCATTTTTTCAAATTTCTCACCAAAAAAACGGGAAAGAAAAACGGAAAACGAAAAATAACCTGAAAACAATCACACTGCTAAGAATATTTGTAAAGAAAGGAACAGCAGTTGATGCTGAAGTAAGTAGCATCGCACCAGTCGTATGTGAAAGACAACCATGGACACTAGTTGGAGTGATCGTCGATGGAAATGAGTTAAGAAGAACGAAAGCATCATCGGATCCAATCGCCAGTAGTAAAACGAAAACAACGAGATTGAGCAACGGGAACTCTCTAGCAAATAATGAATATACAGCAAGTGAACATAATATTGATATAGCAAGCACAAATGCAACTCCAATGCAAAAAGGAATATTCAAGGAATAGATGAATATGATAAAGAAGACACACAGTGCAGCACCTAGAGCAAGCAGCGAATCTCGTTGAGCTCCCTCAAATAATATATCACGTTTAACGTCCAACGAAAGACCTAAGATAAACAAAAATACATAGAAAATTGTAAATACATGCAAAACATAATACACATGCAAAATTTTGATTCTATCCCGAATATTTATTCTTAGTTGGCTGATAAATAATTCTCGGATTTTCTATGATATCTCAAACAATTAGAAAGGGAGTCCCGCGACCAATTTATCTAGCATGACAATCAATTCACAAAAGGATTGGATGGATGTGTAGCTCGAGGAAGAGGAAGAATCTTTATCAAATACAGCGCGGTGAATCAATCCTTTTCATAAATTTCCCTACCATAAATTCTATTTAATTCTTCTTCTAATATCTTTTTTGTATCTTTATACATAAATATTTACAAATTCTAAATTTTTTATCTATATTTTCTCACTATTTCTGGTTTGGCTGATCCCATTGATTGTCGTTTCTTTTCCCAGAGAATGGTCAGAAGTGAAGATAAAAGGGCAGAATGGGTCATCAATAGTTCTTCATTTTTAATCATATGCATTATTCCCATGAAGTAATTTAGTGACCAAACTCATAATATTTTTTATTTTCCCTCAATTTTTTCTCTTCTACGCTGCCTCTGGATTACCTTCGGATTCTTTAGAAGTTACTTAAGATGATCACTATTAATTCGTTGACTCCCAAAACCAATCATCTAAAACTATTGTAATATTGAATAGTCCTGAAAAAAACGACTGATGTTACATAAATGAACCTTTGAGGACAAAATGTGGATTGCTTTTCGAAAAACTTCGTAAATCATTTTGGACGGCAATAAAATGCGCTAAAGTCGCATTGTAAAATCCTCGTGAACGATAACCGGTAAGAGTGAAAATTGGAAGAAATGCATTTATATAAATTGGCTTAGCATTCAGATCCTTCGGCAGTATACGATAAAACAAATCGAATATCATAACAGATGAGCAATTCTGTGGTAATTTTTTACAATAAATGCAATCATTACACTCTCTCAAGCATGAAATCAATTCCTTGCGGTGTGGAATGCAAAGATCGACTATAGCTTTTACAGCAGATACGTCTTCTATTGTTAAATATGAACAATTCGCCAAATAATTAGGTGATAAACATGAAAAATAATTCGAAATGCTCCAAATGTTCCTGAAAAAATTTAAAGAAATATATATATATTTATATATGTATATATTAAGGATCTGATTCCTGTCCTTTGATGGAAGAAACCTAGTATTAAAGTGATTGATGTTTGGGTGCTGCTGTGGAGCCACTGGCTCTTCTATCGCAAAGTGACTTTCTGGCGAAATGATTTCACAGTGATAGTTAGTAGAGGCCAGCCTGTGATAGAGACGCTTAAAAGAGAGTAAAAGCGAAAAAAACTTGAAATTTAATAAAAAGTATAAAACACCTCTTACCTATAAGGCGTGATTGATTCAAAAGGCGTTAACGACTGGTTTAAAGCTGATTGTAATGAACAGATCATTTTAAGGTAATCGAGTCGAAAAAGATCATCGTATGAACCAACCTCGATGACAAATTGGCTTAAAAAATCCACTGAAAAATATAAAATGGTCTGACTTTGTAGAAACAATATAAAAAATGTCATTTCGAATGCATTTACTCAGTTTAAAATTATTTTGTCCCGAAATAATTTTCCAAAATTCAACGGATTTTGGCTGAATTTACAAATGGCGAACCAAATTTTTGGAAATTTTTTTGTTAACAACGAAATTATTAACGAAAGCCAAATTGGGCCATATTGATTATGGGCAGATGAGCAAACTACCAAGCGACAAAGTGGACCCTGCTATACTTCTGCCCCCAAGTCAGAATGTCACCAGAACAGACATCCAAATTAGAAATGGCGACTCCTGTTAGACTCCTGCTACAATGGTTACAATGGAGTAAAATCCTCAAGTTGAAAGTCGATTTAAATTTTAGAAATCCAGATAATCAATTTTTATTCAAATCTTCATATCAAATTTTATCACAAAATAATCGATAGATATGAAATTGATGAATTACTTCCTATAATCGGTGTTTCGTAACAAGGAATTTGTCCGAAAGCGTTCACCAAATCGTCAGCCCATGATCGTTTTATTCTATTTCCATTCGACACTTCTAACCTATTTCCACTTTGTAAAATTCCTGATATATTTTCCCAAGTATTGCGATTTGCCGAATATTCCGTTCCACGAGTATCGAACCCCTACGGAATGAATGAATAATCTTGGTTATTGAACACAGACAGTGTATTAATTGATTCGGAAGATGATTTGATGCAACCTAATTGCCAAGCGGTAAAGCGGAATTCAGAGATTCCATAAAATCCAAGGAATTTTTATAATTTTCTATCTTAGCAGGAAAGTTTTAACTAATCTATACTGATGCTTTCAAAAAATTTAATCGGACTAATAAAAATTTAAGCGATTTTCATAATAAAAAATTTGCATTTAACAAATAGCCCTATTTAATTTTTTCTATTGTTAGAGAAAAGATAAAATCTTCAAAAAGTTAGAATTTATTCATACCGCTTCCGGATTAATATTAAGATTTAGCTGATTAAAATATAGAATAATAGCCGGAAAAACGATTGAGATCAGCGTGACAAAACAAATAAAAATTAGGGCTCTTTCGACGAGGAATGTCGAATAACGATAGAGCAAATCCGATGGCATAACCATCGATTCCGCGACTGCCTACCTTATACTCATTTCACCAACACCACCACTCATTATTATCGGGCAATTCAATCGTACCAGCCACGTCGCCCTATTAAAAAATCTCTCCGTCCATTTGTAAAGTCTCATATATATGGTGTGCACGTACACATATTCAGGTATTTCATTCATGATCCATGTATATCATTCATTCATTCATTCATACATTAATCATTATTTCTACGCAGTTCAGTTTTAAAAGCAAATCTCTTCTAATTTTATTTATTTTATAATGTTTCCCAGAGTAAAAAATTTAATTTTTTCATTTAATTCAAATCCTAATTAAATTTTGCTGGTTAAAAGTTTCAGATTTAAACCTAAAATTTATTTGCTTAATTCAGATAAAATTGACCAACAATAATAAAATGAAATGAAAATTCACCTTTAAAAATTTTCTTTTTATGATGATTAAATGAAAAAACAAAAATAAAATAAACAAACGAATTTTTAATAAAAATGACAATAAAAAATTATTTTATTTCTTTAATTATTCACAAGAAATTTCGAACATTGAAAAAGTCAAATCGTCTTAAAGAAACAGCTCACCAATAAAAGTATGCATCACTAATGAATATTCATTAAAATTTTTCTTGTTCTTTTTTAATTTCAATAAAAAAATAAATAATAAAAAGTTGCAAATGCAAATTATAACAGTATGGGACCATTTTGAACAAATCAGCAAATTTTAAAACTGATTAAAATACCACTTTTAATATCAAATTGAATAAATTTATAAAAGAAACAGTTCCACCTGGATTATTCAACAGAAACGATCGAAACAATATTTCCCAACATTTCCCTTTCCTTTAACCATTTCAATTACCTCAAAAAAAACCAAAAAACGAAATGACTTAGTCATTAATTATCTAGTTACTTCAAATCCCCTAAAAAAATTAGCAACGACGTGGCAATATATAGATTACATAAGAAATCCCAGCTTCTATCAGTATTTTTTTCTCAGTTCTGATTATAAGTCGTCGTTAATTTCAACTGATGCAACTTTGTCTTGAATAGTGATCAGTCCCAGATGGATCGCAAAAAACACAGACAAAGACACTGCACCAATGCAAAATAATAATGTTTCGTTTAATCGATTCTGAAAAGGAAATAGAATACTGTAGTAGAAGGCAAAATGAAAATTTTTTTGAGATTTTTCTCTTTGTAAATAAGAAAAAGGTTCTGGTATTGGATGCAAAATTACCACTGTTTTTGAAGAATTATTTTCACATCTCAGTTTCAATTTCTCTGCCTCAATTACTGCTTTTACTCGCCGATTATGCCATTTATCCTGCAAAACTATACTTTTCGCTGATTTTCAAAAGTGTAAAAATTTTAAATTTTATATTATATTACCTTAAAAGAAGATTGAAGAAGAACTTGACTTTCATTCAGAGGCAAATAAATACTAATAATAGATTCAATAAAGCGCACTAAATTGGGACATCCTAAAATATGTTGTTGAAGACGATCGGAAGGTAATGGTAATTTCAATATAGGAGCAAGATAACCAAATATAAGCGCATCCAATGAAGTTGGCCTGCAGCAATTCAATCGAAAATTTAAAAAAACTGGAAAATTTTCAACATTATAGTAAACTGCAGTGAATAAATAAAAATGATGAAACTAAAAAACTTTTAGTGACTCCTTTTAAACTTTTAAACTTTTAAACTTAAACTTTTTCTTACTTATCACCGTAAAAATATTTATTTTCTCCTAATTTTACAGCAATTAAATTGATGGCTTCAACAGCATCGCAAATTAATTGTTTTTCAGTTCGACCACGAGATTCGACGTAGGCTTGTGCACGTCGTCGACAACTTTCCAAATAATAAAGACTATATGGAAAGCGAAGATTGATAAAATACCAATGATATGTAATTGTTGGGTAATTGAACTGATCAAGCCATAAAGTATGTAGCTGAAAAATATTAAATTCCAAACATGTTACATTAATTATTTCATTTTGAGGATTTTCACTGAATAAAATGAATTTTTTTATTAATATTTTATGGAAATCTAGATTTAAAAAAAGGAATTAAAAAAATAATTTCTTCAGCTACATATATATATTGTCTTGGCTTCCCGGTAAGAAGATGATATATAACGACTATAAAACATAAAAAGAGGAAAAAAAGATGAAGCAAATATATGATCATCCGATGAAATCGTCCACGTGATCGAAAAGTTTCAAAAGCTTAAAATTAATGGTCTAGGAATCTCGACGATACCACAATGTGATTTAAAATTCTTTAGAAACAAATCTTTGGAAAAGCAAAAAAAAAATTGCGATAAAAACCATTGCAGGATAAAAGGAATGAAGCATTAAGCTTGCAAAAGCGTCGAATTCACATCTCTCCGCGAAAGTTAAATCACTGTCGAGAACAACATCCTTAAGTTTTTTTATTTTTTAACTTAACAAAAGATATAAATTAAAGAAAAAATTCGTGCTGAAAGAAATCTTAGAAATCTTCTGCAAAGATAAACGAAAAACCTGAGCGCTTTTCCGAAGCAAATCACAAAATCCTTCAAAATCATACGACCCATGATCCGTAAAATGATTGTCATCATCAAAAATAATCTCCGGATAATTACCTGAAAAAGTTGTAAAGAAAAAATTTGTTCGCATTTCCATTCTATATCATTAATATAATTTTATGAAATGATTGATCACTATTCAGATAATAAATAAATAGAGAAGCATAGTTCTCGCCCTTCCTAGGATTACATAAAATTCAATGAAACAAAAAAAAAAATTAAAGAGTTAGAACCAAGAAACCAACCTGATTTTGACTTCCAAGGGGTTGTGGAAGGCACAAAAACAACAGGAGCGGCACAAAATTTAGCACATGCCTGTAACTAAGATAGTTCACAAGAGCTTTTCCATCGGTGAACAAATTAATAAATTTATCAATACAAGTAAAATCAAGTTCCTTTCGATATGTAAGCGCTATTGTCCAACTAATTAAAAAGGGTCAAAATTCTTTAAAATTCTTAAAGTAATAATTATATCGAAAAACTGATAACTTGAATATGCTGAAAATCAAACCAAAAGAAATTTCTAAAAAATAATATTATGATAATTTTTCAAGAAATCATAAGGAAATTTTATTTATTTAACTTTCTTCACATTACACATCAATGATTCAAATATGCATAAATTAATCTATGCATTCAAATCAATCTAAAGGATTTAGGCATAAATCGCGATAAATCGAGATAAAAATAGAGACAAACAAATATGTATAACAAGTATGTATGGTAATAAATAATTACCATAAATTGCAAACAGTGTGCGTCAATCGAGGGTAACGCAAAATCTGATGGCCAAACACATAATTTCATGATAGATGAGAACTGAAAATTAGATCAAAATAATTTAGATTAATTTTTGGACTAGGTCACCATAATATTCAGACTCGATCAAAACCAAATCAATGGATCGATCAAATCAAATAGTACAAGAAAAACAGGATTCCAATTTAGAAAGCAAGAATTCTTATTAACAAAATTCTGTTACAAAATTCGTAAAAGATTTAAAAATCATTCAAAAGTTCCATCTTAAAAATTTTGAAAAATTGAAAATGAAAATTTTCCAAAAGTTATTAAAAAACGAATTAAATAGTTTCTGGGTTATGTGGGCGACCAAACTTTGGCATGTTCTTCCACTTTTTTCTGACCCCTCTCTCTTGTCATTTCATCTCCTGCAAATTATTGTACGATTTCCTTACCAATTATTTATATAATAGTGCTAATAGAATGGTGTATAATAACGCTGCATAATACACGATCGCCTCACCAAAATAGTTAACAAACAAGAGACAAGGCATCGAATGAAAAATACGAAGACTGGATGTTCGAACCCTCATGGCGTTATCACTTTATTCCCTTCATCTTCTTCCGCTATCAAAGAGGGTCTGAGCTAAGATTTTGTTTTCTATACAATAATTTTCTACTCGCCATTATATTGGGATTTTTTATTTCAAGTTCATTTTGCCCACAGTGTGCCAATAATTCTTTAATATTCCGTGCTCTTTCCCATTCAGTAATTACTTTCCCACCAACGAATAATTTCCAATCAAACGTCGCCTTCGCTTGTTAGGACACTTATTCGTCGTTCACCACAATGGCTGACATAATTTCTTTTTTTGCGGATGAAAAAGCAATGGCTTCTATTATTACCAGCGATGGCATCAGATCGAGCAGCTTGGAAAGTCTCAGTGTCCTTGCACCCAGTGGAGCCAACCTAACTGTAATGGTGAGAGCTGCTAGAAGGAGGCAACCAGGCAACTTCCTACTTCTTTCTGAAAAGATATACCATTTCTGCTAAAATTGATCGGATCTCTACTCCTTGTCAAGTTGCCTTTGGAAGTGAAATTCGGTGATCGATGAGCATACATTACTGTACAAACGAAGAGTGCCTTCTTCTGAAAAATATTGTTCATCAACAAAATTTTTGATCAAATCGTCTTAAATTATTTTGCGGAAATTAGTTGCAAGTGTCCGTGGACTGCTCGCATGGCTGCAATCACATATAATCACCGGCAAATGGAATTTATTTCCGCTCGAGCTGTGCATGGATGAGCAGAATCACAAACTTTCCTTTCCATTGACATGCCTCAATTCCTCCGAGTCCTTCGTCGACACCGCTTTCACCAGCTATTACTAAGACGCACTTGTATTTAGTTCCGCTCCTGCCAAAAATCCTCTCCACCGAACCAACAGCCAGCGGACCCCCAACCGGGAATGGCGACTACCTCCACAATCGATAATCACCGGCAAAATTTAATTTCGCATATAAATTTATTGCTAAAATTATGACAGCGATTTACTTTTAATGATGAACGAAAATTTTTTTCGCTTCTTCTTGCGCTACACAAATCGCCACAAATTATTAAATTATTGCCACATCACCATTGCAAAATATACCAAAAAAAATTAAAGAAGCAACAAAAAACGAAGGAGTGAACACGTTCATGACTATAGCTGACCGATGGTTAGAAATACTAACTCTCAGACCCGGTGGAGATTGAGCTTTCGTCTTAGTGATGAGAAGCAGTACGACTAAAGTAGAGGAGATGAGTCGTAAGGAAGTGGCGAGGTTATGAGAAGGTACGAGGCAATTGTAAGTAAAAAATTCTTATAGTAACGAGAGAAGCGCAACGAAAAGAAGTGGCCGCGTGGCCGATAAGACGGAAGTTTGCCGAATTTTCTCGTCTTTTCTCTTTTCTAAAAGGCTTTTAAAGTAGATTTCGAAAGTTTTTGATTGAAATATTAATAAGGGCGCTAGCGAGGTGACTGGAATGTTTCGAGGCGCACAACCTCGCGAAACTTCATCGGCGACGAAGTCGGAAATTCGGCGATCTCAGAAACGACCGTTCGGCCACTCGGCCTTATTCTTTTTACTGATTTCACACAGGTCTTCGAATGAAAATTCGCGTCGTAAGGTGTTCGCTCGTCAGCCAGAAACTCGATTGATTCTGCTCGTTCGGCTAGGTCGATTAAAAGGCAGCAGGTGAACGTGCGAACGTGTTAAGAGTCTAATAACCTTTGCAGCTGGCCTTCGGCACGAACGCACGTGTGCGGTCGATAGGTTTGCCAGCGACCGACGAGGCGTTTTGAAAATTGTGACGAAGAAAATGTTTTGCAAAAATGTTTTTCAGACGATGGTGTATTTCATTCGACATTCATAGTTATATGGCGAATTGTTTTCCTGGAAAATGGTTAACACTAACAATATTGATGTAAAACTTCAGCAGGTCCATTTTTTATTTATAATATTTTTCGTTTTTTCGATCACATATCTTCTAGCTGCCCTCACGACTGCTGGCGCGACAGGCTTCGCTGGTTGCTGGGATGGGATTACCGTTAAAGAGCTATTTGGAAAAGTACAAGCGGCTTCCCATTGTCTCTTGGATTTCATTCATATTCTTCTTCTAATAGCTCTCACCGCTACTGGTTAGGCTGGCTGCGCTGGCTACAAGGGTCTCCGAGCTGCTCGGTCTGACGCCACCGCTAGTAGTTGGCAATGAACTGAAAATGGGTATTTTATCAGCATTTTATATATAAGACGAAAGCATTTTCGTTTTATTTATATTGATTTTTAGTCCAATTTTCGCTGCAGTTGTTGACACATTGTCTAACATTATTTGCATTTCATTTTATTTATACTGTCACCAAAAATGATTACATCATCAGCGTATTCAAGGTCTATGATGTTATGCTTTGGGCTGATTTGCACACCTCTTGAATGCCGACAAGCGATGTCTATTATCCATCAATCGCATAGTTGAATATTGTTGGGGAAAGGATGCAACCCTGTTGAACGCCAGTTCTTATTTCAAAAGGGTTAATCAGTTCCCCATATACACAAACGTGGGCCAGGTCATGCTGATAAAACACTCCTATGAACCGAATATTATACTGTCACATTCCATCACTTTCCAGAAAACTTTCGAATCTGGTGCAAAATCAATTGAAGCGACGTTCTTAGCGTAAATATCTGGTCAGCACAATCGTGTCCAGATCTGAATCCAGGTCGGACGCATTCTGTTATATCGTGTTGCCATGAGTCTAACAGAAGGGAAGCAAAAAATTTTCCAGAGATTGATTATAATAGGTTGATTCTCCGGTAATTGCCGCAGTATGTCTTATCACCTTTCTTGAGAATTGGGAGCAGAATTGCTTTACTCCAACCATCTGGTAATGTTTCTTTTTTCCATACTAAAAAGTACATTTGTTGAAGGTGAATTATGAATGATAATGAAGAGTTCAGCCTGAAGACTATCTCCTGGAGTTTTATTGGCCTTAAGCTTATGGATTACAGTCGAAATGCACTTATTGTTCCCGGATCTTTTAATTTGAGATAAATGAAAGATCTTGAGTACGTTGTTTTTTACAACTTGTCAGTTTTATACGAATCTTGGCTCGAAATTATAACATAGTCTGATCCGTGGCGGTTACCAGTTACAGCGCCTCGATAAGAAAGACTACCAAGCACAGGGCTTTTCCAGCGGTGACTGATATAGTATAATATATAGTCAATCTGATTGGAACATTAGTTGTTCGGAGAGTTCGGCCTGGCTAGGTGTATTAGTAACAGAGAGTTCATGCTCTTTGGCAAAACGAAGAAGGCTTTCTCCATTGACGCACCCCGATGCCATATTTGCCAATTACCAGATTCATCGTAACAGCATCATAATCTACACGCACATTCCAGTCTTCCCCGATTATAACCATGTCATCTTTCGGTAGAAATATTGGTAAATATATAATAAATATATTGTTTATTATTGTTGAAATTCCGTATAGAACTTATCCTTATCGCGGTCATCCATAAAGTTGGAGCATATACATTGATGACCGAAATATTGCAAAATTTTTTACTTGAAATGCGCGTAGGCCATATGGTCATTTACTGGCTTCCAGTCAGAGTGAATATAGCCTTTTCAGATATAACGATCGCTACGCCATTTCACCCCGAGTTATCCATGACACCACGATTATATAACCAATATCTTTGCTGGGAACCAGGTTTAGTAATTACTAGAGAGCGGACATTAGGAGAACGGACCTTTGACAAACAAGCCACATGTGTGATAAGAAAGGGTTTGGACGGTGATTGCTTGGCTTGCAACATAAGGCGTGTCAAGCTATAGCCAGCACCTCACCGCGCTTACAAAGTGTTAACGGATAGGTTCTCGCCTCTCTTGACGGGTTTTCAGTATCTCGATTCGCTAATTCTATGCTTGTGCCTTGGAATTTTATTGTTTATTATTATTTATTATTATCATTTATTGTTATTATTATTTATTATTATTATTTGTTACTATTATTTATTATTATTTTATTATTATTATACGCTTTGATCGTATATTTATCGCATATATCACCGGGTCAGAAGTAGTATGCGTATCGGAAGACGTCGCGTCAAAGAGACCTGACTCTTTCACTATACAATTACTTGGGGACAGAGGCATAGGTGGATCCCCAGCAGCCATCCGATTTTTGACATCATGGCAGGTTTACTACTGCCAAGTATGAACAATAGATATGATTAAATTTAAAAAAAGAGGAATTTAAAAAAAAATTTTAAGAAAAAAACTTATCAGATTCGTAGAAGATTACGTTATATCAGTGGTATGTTTGTAAATAATAATAGATAATAAATAATAAATGAATTATAAGATAATAATATAACAATATAATCAAGTGATAAAAAATGGCTCATCTCATGAAAAAGATTTAAGGGAGAAATTAAATTTATTTTAAATCAAGGAAATATTTAATTTATTTTTATAATAATGCCCAAAACTGGTGGGTACAATGGCCCAGTGAGTTGTTGCTCAATGGGATACTGAGGCTTTACTCTCCACGGGAGTAAATCTGTCCAAAAATCATGGTTGTACTTACACCATGGATTCCCTGGCGTTTGTCCAGTGCGACAAGCCAGCGAAATGCATCTAGCCAGAAATGAGTGCTCTTAAAAGAAATTTCCTCAATAAATTTCAATATGCGAATGAAAAATTACAAATGAAAATAAGAATATTGGAATTAAAATTTCTTGAAATATTAGTGATAAAAATTAGTTAATTTATCAAAATTTTAAGGATATATATCACGACGCTGATAAATTTTTATCAAAAAAATATATTAAATTTATCTTCGAAATTATTTTACAGTTCATTCCAAATTAAAGTTGTTTTCGAGAAATGCAATAGAAACTACAATAGAAACGAATTGACTAATTTACAGAATGAATTTAACAAAAAAATTTTAAAAAACCTTTGATAGTCGTGAAAAAAAATCACTTCAAAAAATAATACTAAATGAAATGAATAAAATAAAGTCGCTGAAATATAATGGCTGAGATTTATTCATTTACTAGCATTCTTTACAGGAATAAATCATCTATTTTCCAAAAATTCGGACACTTCGATCTGTCGTTAAGCAATTTCGTCTGGTCTGATAACCGATAAATGATAAACGTTTATATCACTTATTGTTTGAAAAAAGCCTGGACAAGATCGTATACAAAAACAATTCGACGAATATTTTCGATAGTCGAATACAAAAAAATGTCTAAGATTATTTTTTTTATAATTGGGGAAAAATTTTTTTTGCTATTTAGGAAGATGAATGGCTCAAATCATTACAAGAAAATCTTAAAAAAAGTGAAACATTACGGAAAGAAATAACAGTGCTTCTAAAAAGTTTTGAAGATAGGTTAGAATGGTTGGATCAAAATGTGGTACCACTATATAAAACAACTGCTATTCTACAACGAAAGCAAACTAGTAAGTTCTCTACTTTTTTCTATTTAAATATTGATTTAATTTTAACAGCATTTTTTGTTTAGCATAGTTCTGAAAAAAACAAGCGTAAAATTTAATCAAAATATGGAAATTTTATTTATGTTTATTTATTATTTATATTTAATAATATTTATTTTTTTTTAGCAAATTTGATAAATTTAAATTTTTTTCAAGATATCAAAAAGATCCTCAAAACTGTCGATGCAATGCAACAATTTTATGGACGAGCTGCTGAATTGGAGAGTTCAATTCGTGAAGGAAATGCTTCAGTTGAGAGGGAAGAATATATAGAAAGAATGGAACAATTAGCGGAAGCAATATCATTTTTTTCTGCTCATCCAGCTTATAAAAATCAATTAGATAATATGGTAATTTTTTTATTTAGTTTTTATTGTATTTTTATTTAACATTTGTTGTATTTTGGCTTCAGATGAAGTCATATTTTTATATATTATTTCATGTATTATATAAAAGCCATACTAATTATTTTTATAATTATACAATTATCGTCCTCAAAAAAAATTTTTTTGGATCTTATAAATTTTTTGTTTTTAAAATTCTTCAATATCTCCTGGGATTTGCTTATTTTTCTTTTTTTTTTTTAACTCAAAATTCATTGCCGCGGTTTAATATAAATGATTTTCAAACTGCAGAAATTGACTTTTGAATCTGGATGTTGCGTCTTGGAAAAAGAATTTCGTAACGTTTTATCAGCAGATTCTGTTGTTGCTGACGCAAAAACAGTTGTAAATTGTTTAGACCAAGATTATGGTTCGTTCCATTTTCCATTACCACAGTTCATTCTTGTTTGCGCTAAGGACTTTAAATTTTTATTATAATTTGTAATATTCAGTATTACATATGCTATATGGAATAATGAATGATTATAATTAGGTTCATCCTATCGACTATTAGTTTGATGAAATAATTTCACCGCAGATTCACTTAAGGATAAAAATAGTTGGGTTTTTAGCATCTTTCAGTTTTTTTATATGTTAGATTTGTCTCCTACCAAAAACAGCATTCACTTCATGATCACAGAATTGATAATAATTTAAGTAATACATATTCGGTCATGCTGCCCTTCTGCCCTTACAGTTTAATATAATATTTATCGATATCATTAATTTATTAATAATTAATAGTTTCAGAAATAATTACATCAAGATTGAACGAAATTATCACTATGAGAAATTTTGAAAATGTTTCGCAGATAGCATGTTGGTTATTAAATAGAAATTCTAATGGATCAGTTATCCACACTTATGCAACCATTCGTGGAGATAACATTTTAAAAACGTTAATCGCCATCTCTCAAAATGACAGTTTCGTGGTGAAGCAGACCGCTATCGTTCCGAAAACATCTGCGGCATCTCTCAAACAGTTAGATTTTATTTATTTGGTCGAATATTGATTTTATTTTAAATTGTTTTGTTAATTTTTAATTTAATTAGCGATTTGGGAGATATTTGGTCTGTAATTTCGTCTGAGCAGCATGAGCTCTATTCCTGTTTATTATCAGTCGTTTTATTCAGTGAAATTGGACTGATACTGGAAATCGACCTATTTGTTTATCCTTAGTCGCTCTCTAGCTGACGCATCACGCTGTAGTCTTTTATAATCTTTTATAAATCCATTTTTTCAAATAAATTGAAATTAAATCAATTAAATTAAATCAAATCAATTAAATTGTATAAATAATATATATATATATATATACATAAATCGTATATATATATATATATTTTTTAAATTTTATTGTCCATTTTATTACTTTCTTCAAATTTAATTTTTTTTTTGTCTTTAGCAAGAGTAAACCTGCTATTATTTCAAAAATACGGGTGGCTGCTGGGGATCCACCTGTAACTCTATCCCCAAGTGACTCTGTGGTGAAAGGGTCAGATACATTTGATACGACATCCGCGTCTCCGATGCGCATGATACCTTCGAGTCCGGTGGTACATGCGATGAGTTTACAATCCGGGCTTAAAGCGATCCCAGGGATGGTAAATAAAATGTGCCCTCAAGCCAGGATAATTGCTCGAAACCTATCAAGAAGGGGAACAGCCCTCTGCACACGCGTTGAGATATTAGCCGTATCAGTGTGGAACGTTAGAACGCTTATGGACGTTGCAAGCCAAGCGATCACTGTCCATACCCTATTTAAGTATCGTGTGGTCATAATGCAGCTGCGATGAACCTCAACAATTGGCAAATATGGCATCGGAGACCGGTGTGCCAATGGGGAATGTCTTCGTTATGCTGAAGAGCATGAACTTTTATTACTAATACTTGCTTCCGGCATTATAGAAAATATCTAGTCACGTGGAACTCCCCGGACAATCAGCACTTCAACCAGATCGATTATATCTTAGTCAGTCATCGTTAGAAGAGTTTCGTATTAGATAGTCGTTCCTACCACGGCGTTGAAACGGGCAATTTTCATGGATCTGACCATGTTATGGTTCAAGCCAAGATCCGTATAAAATTGGCAACTCGCAGAAAACAGCATCCCCCAAGTTCTTTCAACTATCTCAAATTAAAAAATTCGGGGAAGGTGAGCGCATTTCAAACCGAATTATTGAAGCATCTTAATGATACAAATATCAATGATTTTTTTGGAACGACAAATGAATACTGGTCCAAACTAAAGGCCAAACTTAACCATGAAGCGCTATCTGTTGCCCCTGATACAGCTGATACGTTTGCCGAAGCATATGTTTGCAATTGTGAGCCTCCAAGAGAAGAAGAAATAATTTCAGTTATCCATAAGCTCAAGGCCAACAAAACTCCAGGAGAAGAAAAAGATGAAGACGGGCTGAGCTTTTCAAATGCTTTCCATCGTCTTTCATAACGCACTTTCAACAAATGTACTCTTTAGTATGGAAAAAAGAAATATTACCAGATGATTGGAGCAAAACAATTCTGCTCCCAATTCTCAAGAAAGGTGATAGGACATACTGCGACAATTGTCGAGGAATCAGCCTACTAGATATTTCAGCGAAAATTATTGCTTCCCTTTTACTCAACAGACTTATGGAAGTACGAGAAAGCAGGATGCGCCCTAATCAAGTTGGTTTCAGACCAGGGCGCGGTTGTGTTGACCAGATATTCACGTTAAGAAGGGTGTTGGAACATCGCTTCAAATATTTGCAACCCACTGTCACGTGTTTCATCGATTTTGCCGCTGCCTTTGATTCAATTGACAGAAAGGCGCTTTGGAGGGTGATGGAATGCGACGGTGTTCCAGAGAAGATCATTCGACTCATAAAGGCATTTTATGAGCGTACATTGGCGCAGGTCTGTGTATATGGGGAACTGGCAAACTCCTGCCAAATAAGAACTGGTGTCCGTTAAGAATGCGTCCTTTTCCCTACAATATTCAACTATGCGATAGACTGGGTGATGGACACCGCTTGTCGGCACTCAAGGGGTGTCCAAATCAGTCCAGAGCATCGTATCAT